TTGAGAACATGTACTACAATTCCATCTTGCTTCAAGTCTTTCCTAATGACTTTTCATTCTAAGATACATATTTTTCTTCTATCATTTTTTTTCAACAAAAACTGAATATTCGCATTCTGTGGTCACTGTCTGAAAAACCATTACCTTGATCCATGTAAAAATAGATGGCACACCGATAATAAGAGAAGGGGGAAAACCAAACTAAATAATTTTGCCTTTTTGCTGTCATCTGATTGAATAGATATGTCCTTCAATCTATCCCCTTCCATAAAATATGTTTCTCAGACAAAGAACAATGAAAAGGAGTGAGCTCATATGTTGCCAATGTCACTGATGAGATCATATTCTTGGATTAGAAAATTAAGGTAACTGCAGAAACACTGTAAGAAAAAAAAGGCTGAGCTGCATTTATTTTTTGTAATAGTAATAGCCAAGTCTTAGTGGTTAGCCGTTGTTACTGGCTTGTTGCCATGGAATGCATTTATTTATTGGCAGCTTTCCACTATCAATTACATTGATAGCTTTTTTTGCTCATTGACTTGAGACAATATTGTATATTATTTTTACAGTAAGAGTCAGAACCTTTTGAAGAATTTCCGCAAAAACTATTTTTCCCATTGCAAATGTTTGCACTTTTATTTCTTTGTCCCTTTTACAGCAACATAGGATACAACAACATGGGATAAATTTTATAAACTACTCTCAAATCATTGAGCTAGAGAAGAACTCACAATGTAGAAAATAAATAAACAGAAGAAATTGTGAAGAAAGCAAATAATACTGAAATTTCTCTTTCTAAATATGTCATCAGCATTCAAAAACAAGCTCTCTTAAGTGTTTCTCTTTGAATATTCAGGTGCATTTTCAAGATTAACAAGATGCCATTCCTAGTTATGATGCCTCTACCTCTTCCTTCCTTGCTCCTACACCAATCCTTTGATGCACCAGAAACTATGTGGAACATGAAAGGGAGGCAACATCCTTTTATACCAAATCAGAAATCTCAACTAAAAGCACAATTTCTCTGATGGGAAACCATTACATGTCCATTTCCATTTAGAGAGAAGTTCTAGCTTTGTCCTTGGTGGAAGTAATTTTGTGATTGTGGGAATTGTGTATTCACCCACAGGAAGTGTACATATAGTGATGTGATGCAGACATTTTTGGTATGAATCCAACACCATTTATGTATTATCTACTAAGCTACCATAAAATTTTATCCCCCTGAAAGGAAAGAGATACTGTCCATAAGACAAAAAATTAATGAGACAGCAGTGCATAAAAAGATGAGTTTATAGAGTTCTATAAAATTCAGAAGCATGGAAGAAAGAGCCTGACTATAGGTGGAACAATGGGACTAGGATGCTCTTTTGGAGACCACAGGAAGGAGAGTTCCAGTGGCTGTCTCAATAAACAGGAGTGGGTTTCTACCGGTTCTGTCCACCTCTGTAAAACTGGTAGCTATGAAGAGCAGCAGACATAGAACCGGTTCTGTCTGCTGATGTTTTTGCCCATCCGCTCACCCGGGCTCTTACCTGACCTTTATTTCCTGCTTTTTTCAACTTCAGCTGCCGTGCGAGGCACAGCTGCAGTTAAAAAAGCAGGGAAAAGGGGATTTTTGAAAGGCTGCTTCTCTGCACGCAGCATGCTGATGACGATTTACAGGCGTGCACTGGCAGAGTGCAGGGACGCACATCGTAAATCACTGAACCTCATAAATCACCGAACTGGTAGTTAACCCTGTCGGATCCCACCCCTGCTAATAAAGCTAATATTCAAGAACTCACGGAAAATACTTGCAGGACCACCACTCCTCCACTGTTTCTGCTTAGCCTGCAGATGTAGCAAGAAATAATACTCTTGAGTCCCTTCTTTCAAACAGTACTATTTTATTGGATCATGGTCATGTCTTCTCTGTGGTCATGTCTTCTCTGTGGCAGCATCTGTCCTATAGAATAGCACCCATCTTGAAATCTGGATGGCTCCAATTTTCTTAGCCTTTTGCAATTTTCTTAGTCTTTTGACAACCTGCCTGTTTCCCTTGGCATTGTCCTAGGTAGTTAGATGAACTCTGATGTTGAAACACTGATGTTTTCTGTTTTTTTTTTAATCTTAGAATTTATGTGATATATATATATATATATATATATTTGTTGTTTTAAGCCCAGTATGTCATTCAGAGTCATTGTTGTGAAATAGATGGCCATATAAATTATTTAAATAAACTTCTTGCTTTGCAGTTTTAAAACTGCAACAAATGAACTCTGCCTTTCAGTTTACATCTGAAATCAAATTACTAAATGGCTAGGAAGGTATATAAATAAGTTATTTGGAAAGTATAAAAAATAATACGTAAGAAACAAAGAATACATCCATATGAAGTTTGAACCTGCAGTTAAATGAAGAAATGTTGACAAAATTGACAGGAAGTTTGTCACTGTTTTAAAATTTGGTTTATATTTTGGCCTCTAATCTGTAATCTGAGACTACATGCTGTCACTTAGTGGAAATAAAGGAAAATATGGTTTTTTTAAAAAATAAAGCAATTTTTGCTGTTGTTGGGAAAAATGCCTTAGAAAGGGATGGAAGCGGGGGGAAGGACAATAGTTGATGTATCCACAGAGATTACAACAGGTAATCAGTTCATGGGTAGAAAGGGTAAAAAGATATGTATATATTTGTTTTCACTATAATACATCATCACCATTTTAGCCATTATCCACTGCAGGATGAAGGCCTTTTCTGCATGCTTCCAACCAATACGGTCTTGAGCTTTTCTTTACCAGTTGGGCCACAATGCTTGCACAATGTTGTCGCTCTATTTTGTTTTAGGTGTCTTTTGTGGATGCTTTTTATCAAGTGGGATGCATTCTATGGGACTGCCTTAGTCCATCTGCCATCAGTACTTCTCCCTACGTGACCAGCTCATTTCCATTTATTTCACTCTTTTGATGGCATCGTATATTTTCATTTGTTCTCTAATCCATGTGCAGGAGCTTTCTATCTTGTCTTGTGATGCCGAGCATGTATGTCTCCATGGCTCTTTGTGCCACTCGTAGCTTTTATATTGATTGTGAGGTTAGTATTCATGTTTCGCTGGCATGTATTCATTTTCACTATAGTTATAGCTCATTATCATCTGAAATCTTTTTTGGAATAATTTAATGATTAATTCATTAAATTTGTACTGATGCATTATTTCTGGCAACCAAATGATTAATTCTTCTAACTTGTTGTCATTTCTTTCTTGTGAACCCAATATCACTTGATTATCTTCAGTTGCCTTATTTATCTAATACTTAGTTTTCCCTACTCTACACAATTGCAAATAATACACTGTCTTTTTCCTACTTTTTTCCAACTTAGCAACACCCTTCCCATTTTGATCCTATCAATCCAGTGTTCAATATTAAATAGTATAATCAAGTAAAGTATCATATAAAACTTAAAAAATTGTTCCTGAATGATTGCTTGAAGTTTTGAGAAACTTATGGAAATAACCTGAACAAGAAATCATTAAAAAATTAACCTCTAAAATCTCTGCATTTATCTCAATAGTGTCTATAATGTGTGTTATTCCCTGCACAATAATTTAATTTTCCTAGAAATTTTGTTCTATTCTGTGTTGTTGGACCCTAGTCACCGAGAAGCCTAAAACCATCAAATTGCCAAATCAAGCTACAGGGGGGAACAATCAAATCACAAATACAGGGTTGTGTGGAAAGGTTGTCACAATTCGGCAGCATGTTTCATCTGTCACACTGTCACTGAACTAAATGATACGTATTCCAAGAAAACAGGTTTGCAAGTTTACTGATTCCAAATTCCTAATGCATCTTTTCTGCCATCCTTTTATTCCAGTTTCTACTCCTAGTAAATTGCTTTAGGCAACTAGAACTGCAAAGTTTATTATTCATTCCAGCACTTTGCCCTTGTATAGTCAGCCAGAGGAGACACTGATTTCTCATGAGATGTAAAGACCAATTTGAAAGAAAGTGATTCAAAATCATATTTGGCCCATCTCCACTAAAATCATTTGGAATTAATCCAAAAATCATCCAGTTTGGCTACTTATCCTACTTTAGACTTTCAACGGTTATCAAGATGGATGAGATGCTGCCAGTATAACAACCAGTTTGGTGATCACGCACTTTGTGCGCACACATGCCTGATGCAGTTGAGGAGTGGCCATCCATTCTGCTGTGCTAGTCAGTTGGGATGATAAAGGTCAGTACAGCGCCAGGGGCCCACATGATCATTGGAGTGAATCGGTTCTCTCCCAGCTGATCTTCAGAGCTAGGGGGTTTGACTGAACCAATCCAAACCGGCAGAATCCCACCAGAGGTGGTATTCAGCAGGTTCTGACCTGTTCTGGAGAACCGGTAGCAGAAATTTTGAGTAGTTTGGAGAACTAGCAAATACCACCTCTGACTGGAGATTTTACACCCACACCCACCAAGCCACGCCTACAGAACCGGTAGTAAAAAAAATTGAATCCCACCACTGAATCCCACCCCTGGTTATCAACCTTTACAATGTGTGCTCTCCTAAATTTATTAGCTGGTATTATTTACACAGATCAAATATATGAGTCATAGAGACAGTGCATGTACTATAAATCTATCTTGACATTATATTTCCTACTAAAAAGGTAAGAGCCTACTCTACAGTTATCTCTGGACACTTGAAATATTAATTTAACTCCTTTGTATAAATAATATTTCTACCCCAGATTAACAGCTATTTCAAATTATGCTGTTCAGATATTATCAGTGATTAATATTGCACTACATACCTACCCTTGACCTTGATGTTATCACAAGGATTTTTGATTATATATCCTTGCCATGGAGTTTACCATTCAGATTCCACTTTGATATATGACTGCCTATTTTATTCTACGTTAATCTCATAAGCAGCCAAATTATGGATTAATTCCACATTTGCTCCCTCCTCGTCTGTATTATAAAATAGCTTACCCACATGCTATTATAGCATACCTGTTTTCTCTTCATTTTGGCTACTCACTGCCGTGTCTGTTTGGGGTTGTGCTGTTGCCTTAGCAGTAGCATCTTCTGCAGCACTAGGGGAGACAGCAGTGGCAGGCACATCGGCTTGTTTGGGTTCCTCCTTGACTTGGGCTTCATCAGCCTTCAAGGATGGTGAATTATCAGTGGAAGCTTTAGTGGCACTTTCAGTGGCAGCAGGAGCAGACTTTTCTTCCAATGGAGTAGCCGGAGTAGCGGCCTTTGGAACAGGTTGCTCTGAGCTACTGTTGACAACGCCATCTGCCTGCTTCTCATCTGCTGGGGTGTTTTCTCCTTTGCTTTCACCTCCAGGTAGGGCATTCTCAGTTGGAGCAATTTCTGTAATAGCAGTTTTGCCATCTGCCAGACCATTGGCAAGGACCTCCTCCTTCTTCTCTCCACCTTCAATATCAGTAGTTGGGGCATCTCCCTTCCTCTCTCCCTTGAGCTTTTTCCTTGTTATGTGTCCACGGAAGCTAGCCTGAATTTTGATGGCTGCCTTATGAGCTTTATCTTCTGGTTTAATGCCATCTTGTTCAATCTTTTGGTCAATGTCATCATTTTTTTCAACCTTTGAAATGAAGGGGAAATGAAAGAAAGGGAAAACACTTAATTAACAATTAATTCAAAATGTCTCCACCAAGCAATAAAAAGATAGTTCTGATATTTACATAACACATTGCAAAGGACACAATAACACAGTAGCATAAAATAGTTGAGTTAGAATTCTTTTTTCTTGAAAAATACGAAGTTCAAAAATGTACAAATGTTAAATTTCTAATGCCCAAATAATTAACGTATAAATGCCTCATCCACCCCATGTTTTATAAGCAAACAATATTGATACATATTACCATTTAATCTGGGTTGCTATTATGCTGTAGAATACAAATTACTAATAGTCTCACAACAAGCAATTCATACTTTAAGTAGTATTTGTATTTCAGCATTTTGTAAAAGTATTGTACAGGTAACCCAATTTGTGCAGATATGATATACAACATTTATAGTAACTTTTTCCCCTTATTAATCTGCTACAGGTTTGTGGTTCTTTTTTTTATTCCATGCCTAGCATAAACTAATAGAAATGATGATACAGGAACTTATTTATCTGCAAACGTTTCGGCAGAATCTCATCTGCCATCATCAGGCTTCTGTATAGTGTTCATCTGTGAGTCAGACTTTTACAG